ACGTAAGTACCGCCATATCGTGCTTAAGGGGACTAATTATAAAAAGTTGAAATCTTACCAATTTTTCTTTGAGGGAAACGTAAAACGACTGAAGAGTAAAGTTTACCAAGGCAAGACCTATGTGAAAGCTAGTGTTCTTCCATCTATGAAGAAGAATCCGTATAGAGTTATAGTAGAGTTCTCACCTCAATGTGACATATTGCGAGCGGCGTGCACATGTCCGGCCGGGCTTGGCTTAAATGGAAAAGGTAAATGCAACCACGTAGGAGGCGTGTTGTTTGCTGCTGAAGATTTTACGAGAAGAGGATTACAAAAACATGCCGAACCTCTGACCTGCACATCGCGGCTGTCTGTTTGGGTTGTGCCTCGTAACCAAAGTGTTGCTGCAAAGCCACTTGACCAGGTTCTGATCAGAAAGATACGATTTGGGAAGAAAAATATTCGTCTCCAACCGAAGATTATAAAATTTGATCCAAGAGCGCCAAACCAGTGAACGAGGGATGAAAAACATTTTAAGACCTTTTGTACAGGTCTTCAAAACAGTCTCCCTGCTAGTTCATTTTTTTAATTTCATGACATTAAGTCAAAGTGCTTAGAAGAGCCTGACCCTGAAGAGAAAGAGGAACCAGAGGGCGTACCCTTTAATGATAACTATGATATAGCTTCGAAGCACTTCAAATACATGGTTGATGAACACGTCTCTAACTTAACAATAACCCTGGAAGAGATCCAGGAGACAGAGAGACTGACACGCGGACAAAACAAAAACAGTCTTTGGTTTGAAAAGAGGAAAACTCTCTTAACAGCTTCAAATTTTGTTAAAGCTGCCAGGACCAAAGTGGAGCCTTCAAATAAATTAAAGTCAATCCTCTATTCAAACTTCACAACAGATGCTCTTCAATATGGCATTGAATGTGAACCAAAGGCAGTGAACTTGTATATTAAGGAAATGAGAAAAAATGGTGTCAGTGTTAAAGTTGAAGAGGTTGGATTATTGGTGTCTAAGGAGAAACCATACTTGGGAGCTAGCATTGACAGAATTGTCACCTTCAAAGATACAGAAGAAAAATGGGGAATGGAAATTAAATCTCCCTTCAGCAAAGCAGGAATGACTGTAGAAGAGGCATGCAAAACCAAAAATTTTTTTCTGGAGAAACTTGGTGATGGAACAGTGACACTCCAACGGAATCATGACTATTATTTGCAAATTCAAGGACAGCTCTACTGTTCTGACTTAGATCTACAAGGGATCATTCTCACAGTTTATTTTGGAGAAGATAAACCACTATTTTTAGAGAACATTTACTCAGACAACACTTGGTCCAGTGACTGCCTGCCTAAGATTGATTTCTTTTACAGAAGGGCTCTTTTCCCTGAGCTTCTTACCAAACGAGTGCAGAGGGGAAAGCTTCTCTACCTCCATGGTGGGTGGCAACCATTTGGCCACTATAGCTGCAGCAGAACTGGTTTAAAATTAAGATTTGAAAGACAAGTATAAGCTTTACATTGATCTGAAAGTTTATTCATATTCAGGGTGCAAAGAAAGTTTTTTCTACAGCTTGCCATTCGGGCAAGCTAAAGCTAACATTTACTGGCCAAAACATCATTTCAACTAGCCCCAAAAAGGTTTTGATGAGCATATTGATTTGACAGTACTTCTGTAATGTGATTCCTCAAAAAACTTCACTTTCCCGTCGGGCCAGTTAAAAACAGAATCCACTAGCCTGATAGCACAATCCACTAGCTCCGGGCTATCAGACACTACTTTCTTTGCACGCTAACATTTATTTTTTCTGGGCTTTCGGACACTACTTTCTTTGCACACTGATATTTATTTTTTCAACTCATGGCTGTGATCTAACAGTGCCCGGTGGCCCTTGGTGCCTCATTTGTACTCTTAGGTGACTAGGAAATCATTCTTTCCCATAGAAATGCTATGCTGGGCAGCCTGAATTTCACAGGATTAGAGCATCAGGTTCCCTTTAATTTTTCTTACAACACAGCCTTGATTTGGTATTTTGTTTACATGGTAATTACCCTCCCACCAATGAAAGATAATTATTATAGGAAAACATGGAACCCTAAAGTAGCAGTACATTACATTCTAATACTTACTTTGGTGGAAATGGCACCATTCTAAGAACTTGTTGTTTGTTTGTTTTTTTTGTTTTTTGTTTTTTTCAGTCTAACACTTGATTCAAAATGTATTACTAAACAAAATCATTTTTGAAATACTAGCACACAGCAAGAGAGTGATTCAAACTAAGCCATGAATGGACTACAATGAAATTCAACTAAAATTCCACAATAAGGTCCACTATCAGCAATCCTGATTCGAGTAATAGGAAGACAGTTTATGCACATTAAATAAGCCATTTCTGGGTTTAAAAAAATTGCACAAGACAAGCCAAATGTGAAACACTGCTGTGAATATATAAAAAAGTTTCACTCAAAGATAAACAATAATTTTTTTCATCAATACATGTAGATTTACATTTTG